GTTATACATATATTTAAAATATTTATGTTTAAAATATTTTTAAAAAATACTTGTACGAATTTAAAATATTTTAAAAAAAATACATAATTCTTGTTCGTCATATATTCTTGTTACGAGTTGATAGTGGAGGAGTGTATGCCCTTATAGCATTATATGACCTTAGCATACATAGATGTTACGTAAATGGAAATCAATATCATAAAATTAGCATATATATATATAGCTTAGCTTATTTAATTTGTAATTGATATTGAACTTTTTGTTTTGGCATATTTTAAATTATTAAGTTGTCATCCGTAGCGGAGTCAGGATTTAATTTTAGCCGGGGCTAAAAAGTTTGACATGTCAAAATATTTTCGTAATTATACAAATCTATTAGTAAAAAATTTTACTTAAAATTTTTAAAGTAATAGGATTGATGTCATTTTAACAGATAATAAATATTTATTTAAAATTTAAAATATAATATAAAATTAAATTAGTAAAGAAAGTGCAAATATATGAAATTTTCATGTGATCTTTATGAATATTATTTCATGTGATGTTAATGAAAATTTATTTCATTTGATCTTTGTGTATAATTGTTTTTATCTTTTATATTTTAATTTTGTTTGGGCCTATAAACTTTAGTTTGCAACTTAGTAGGCCTTACAGGCCGTATTAGATTTTTTTAGTTTTTTTTATAATAGGCCAGTCCAGACCTATAAATCAAGTCTTTAATAGGTTAATAGGCAAATATATTAGATAGGTTTAGGCTTTTAAAGCCAAAGCTTGGCCTAACTTGGCCCATTTATACCCCTAGTCGTTGCCTGTGAAGAACATCAACGTAGAGGGACAACAAACTTCATAATTAAAAAGAAACATGAAACAATGAGCGACAAATGTCTGAAATCATTTAAATGACATTCGATCCACGTAAATCATTTAATCAGTGTTTAGATATTTTAAAAATTTTACAAATACAAAAAAAATAAAGAAGTTGTTAATGAATATGTACAAGAAATTTTCATACTCCATATATATACATATATCTTCATTGATTTTTTTCTTTAACAATTTCCACTGATTAATCGCCAAAATTCTCATTCTTGTTGTGAAATCAAATACAAATAACACCAAGAAATAATTCAATTCCATTACCAATAGCAACCGTAGCTCTACATTAAAATAATTTTTTTTAAAAAAAAATTAAATGTAAAACAACACTCCATTTTTTCAAAAGAAATAAAATCAATAAATACAACCACACAAAAAAAATTTGTAAAAAAAAAGGGCATGAATTCCACTCATGTTAAAAACACCCAATAAACAACTATGGTCAACAAAGACAAAGAATTTTTCTTTTACAAGGTTCAAAAAATATATAGATCAATTTTTTTCCAGAGCGGACAATATAATTACCAATGCATATTCTAAGAACATGTATTCTTAAAATCTTGAGAAAGAAACAAAACATCCTACCTTGTCGCGGAAGGGTTGAGTTCTGGGTACTGAGTGCGAATAAGGAAAAAAAAAGTTAGAAAAAACCCTAATTGGAAAAAGATGAAAAAAGAAGAAAAAATGAAAGAGAAAACAATCTGTTATATGGTCATACACGCAAAACAGCTCCAAATCTTCGTCTATTACTATTATTACAATTTTAATTAGGGTCAACTTAAGCTAGGCCCAATCACAATTACTTATATAATTATATATAATAATTAAAATTTATTGAAATGTAACCGGTAATATCCTTAATTAATAAAATCATAGCCCCATCACAGAAAACGCGGGAGGAAGTTAACCACAATCATTTAACCACATTAATGGAGTCGTTGTCAATACAGGAACTCCAAACGTCCAAAGCAACAAAAGAACGTATCAAGTTATTGCATATCCTGAATCAAATCCATCTTTTTTATTTCAGTTTTTTCAATCACGCTCCCTACCCATTTATATTCCGTTCCTGTTCTTTCTCTTTTTCTCTCTTAATCAAAACCCTAAGTTTGTGGGCTTTCTTCCATTTTCTCTTGAATTTGAAACCCAGCCAGTGTTCAGCGAGATCTGACAATGAGCTCCTCAGAGAACCTAAATGATGTTGTACGTTTGGCTTTTGAGAAACCCTAGCAAGAAAAACAGTTTCTCTCTCAAATCACTTCGATCCCTAGCAGGAACAACTCTCCTCTTCTGTTCTCTGCAAGCACCTTCCTCCACCGTCATCTTTTTCAGGTTTCTTTTCTTTCCTTTTTTTTAAAATTAAATTATATATTAATTTTGATTAATGGCTAGAAAAGTATTGATATATTCAAGGCTCTTTCATAGAGCGATCAGGCAATTCATGTGCTCGTTGTTTAGCTAAACTAGTTTCAAAGATAGGAAACAATCATCATATTTTTCCAAACTCCTCCTTTAGGGTTTAATTTCCCTTTTAAATAAAGATGTAATGCTAAGCTTTCATAAGGCTAATCCTTCTTAGACTTTTTGTTTTTGTTTTGTTTATCTGGACTAGTTCCCTCCTTATTATACACACACACAAAAGAAACTCCTTTTGATTATTTTTTTAATTTTATGTGCAAGTTGCTGGTTTTTTATTTTTGGTTCTCTTTTCGGTTTGTGAGGGAATATAATTTCTTTCAGTGTTTGACAAATTAATCTATATTTCTAATTTTCAACTGATGATTGACTTGGTATAGTAGCTTCTTTGTTCAAGGGATCACAGGTCAAATTTTGATCTTTTTCTATTTCCATAATTAACTCTATGTTCCACTTTAGCATATCGCTGTGGTGAAACTTAATTTTATAATTCTATGCTTCCTGATAGGCTTTTTGTGTGAGAAGAGGGGTTAGGGATTGGTTATAAGTCATCTTTCTTCATGTAAGTGGAGACTATGGTCCTTTACTTTGGAGCTTAAGATTTAGCTCTAATACTTCTAACTGTTTTAGCATCACCAGATCAAAGTTGTAAGCATATACATCACATGTGGTCATCAGGCTGGGCTTGAACATATATAGCTTTGTTTTTTTTTTTTTCATTAGTATATATATATATATATATATATATATATATATATATATATATCGCTTAAATTTGAACTTTCGATCAGTTGTCACAGGTTACGTAAATAATATCCTTAATCAATTAATAAAATTAGCACATGATATAAAAATGGAAATTAATATTATAAAATTAGCACACTAAAATTTAGTTTTTTTTTTCCATGTGAATATATAAAATAAAATGACTCCTAAATTTCAACTTTTATTTTGGCATATTTTAAATCATTATATTACCGTAAATAATATTCTCAATGAATAAATTTAACATATATATATATATATATATATGCTAACTTTATTAATTAAGAATATTATTTATAGAGTTTATATAGTTTTTTTGTAATGTGTATATATAAAATAAAATATTTCCTAAATTTAAACTTTCACTTTCACATATTTTAACTTTCACATATTTTAAATTATTAAGTTACCGTGAATAATATCTTTAATTAATAAAATTAGCACATATATATGATATAAAAATGAGAATCAATGCCTTTAAATTAACACAGATATGTTTCATATAGAGATATTATGTTTATAAATGTTACGAAAATTCTTCTATTAATATTAACAATATTTATATTTATTAAAGATTTTATTTCCACATGCAACATGGTCGGTGAAAAGTTTTGGCGCACTAGGGTGGGTCTGTGTTCATCTCTATTAGCAGAATTATGGAGAGTATTGAGTGGTTTGGTGTTTGTCTGGAACGCGGGATAGAGAAGAGTGATTGTTGAATGTGATGCGGTAATGATTATTTCCTTGCTCACCAAGCTTAGTGATGATGCCCGTGAGTTGCATTTGCTGAATAGTTGGATCGAGACTGACAGTGTGCGAACTGGCTCACTAACTACCTCTTGGATCCATCGGAGTTGGATGGTGTTTGGCGCTTCCAGTCCAGTGATCACTGATGAAACTTGGCTTGCTCTTGCAGGCTGATGTAACATGTGTCTCCAGGACTAGGACTTTCATCCATAACGAGGACTCGACCCTGGTTTTGCTTTGTTGTTCTCGTTCTTTTAATTGTTTGGGGCTTAGTCCTTTTTTGTTACCAAATATATATATATATATATTTATTATTATATTTATATATATATATATATTTATTATTATATTTGTGGCTTGTAGATTATAAACAAATGGAAATCAATATCCCAACAAAAATTGCTTAAGCATACTGTATGTGGTTATCTAGGAATTATTCTATGGGTTTCTGTGGTTCAATGTTTGTGTATCGTTTAATCGATTTTTTTATTGTGAATCATAAGATACAAAAATATAATAAAAAATAATTTAAAAATATATAATATAATAATATCATATAAATAATATATCGCTTAAATTTGATTCAGTTTATCACAGGTTATGGAAATAATATCCTTAATTAATTAATAAAATTAGCACATGATATAAAAATGGAAATTAATATTATAAAATTAGCACACTAAAATTTAGTTTTTTTGTTCCATATGTATATATAAAATAAAATGACTCCTAAATTTGAACTTTCATTTTGGCATATTTTAAATCATTATATTGCCGTAAATAATATTATTTATGAATAAATTTAACACACATATATATATATATTAACTTTATTAATTAAGAATATTATTTATAGAGTTTATATAGTTTTTTGTAATGTGTATATATAAAATAAAATATCTCCTAAATTTGAACTTTCACTCTCGCATATTTAAAATTATTACGTTACCGTGAATAATATCTTTAATTAATAAAATTAGCACATATATGATATAAAAATGAGAATCAATGCCTTTAAATTAGCACATATATATGTGATATCAATTCGATGCGTGATTAAAGATATTCTTGTTATGATTTACCAAAAAAAAAGAAAAAAGATATTCTTGTTAGCATATATATACACACATATATTCCCGTTACCTGATTCTTCTTCTTCCGCTTGAACAGGTTTTGCATGAAATAATTTGAATTTGATGGCTCCTAGTTCGGCTCCTGCAGTATCTATTGAACCAGAGTTGTGCCCTCATGCAGTAATCGACTGGTACAAATTAACAGGATCAACAGATTATAGGCGAGGTAGGGGGAAAAGAGACCTATCCTTAAAAGCAAAGCAACATCTATGTGCTTTGGGTTGGAATTTGTGGTACATTGATAAGCAAGGTAGATGGGAATTGCGTTATACATCACCCATCAATAGCAGGAACCATATTTCTCTCAGAAAGGCATGCGAAAGCTGCATACGAGAGGGAGGTTGTGGGCCTCAAAATGTTCCCTTGATTCTGGAAACAAAGGGTCTTCAAGTTGAGCGTGATCATGATTATCAGCCTTCAACAACTACAGCCATGTCATCATCTTCTGCACAGCCACAAGAACAACCAAGAACATGCAAGAAACCAAGTGCAAGAGCGCAGCCCAGAACATGCAAGAAAAAAGAAAGGGAGTCTTTTGATGATGATGATGAGGTGGATCACTCTCAACCCACGAGTGAGCTTGATCAGGCCTCTTCCACTACAGTGATTTCATCTTCTGCACAAGCACATGTGGTACCAAGAAAATCCAAGAAACAGAGGGCTGAGCCAAAAAAATCCAAGAAACGACAAAGGGAGTCATGTGATGATGGTGATGATGCTGAGTGGAATCCAAGAAAAGACAAAGGGAGTTCCATAGGCGGTAAAAGAGGTAAAGTCTTACGATCAAGGAAAAGGGTGAGGCATGGGGATGAGGTACAAAGTTCTTCAAATCCTCGTACAATGATCTCTTGGTTGATTGACAACGTGGTACTTTTAGAATCCAAGGTGTTCTGCCGTGGTAGATATAATGTGGTGAAAAAAGGTAAACTATTGCATTGTGGCATAGAATGTGATTGTTGTGGTTTGGTTTTCGGCCCCACTAACTTTGAGGCTCATGCTGGTTGTGCAAAGCACCGTCCATCTACTAGTATCTTCTTGGAAGATAGAAGATCACTGTTGGATTGCCAAAGGGAAGCTTTGAGTAGTTCACAACAAAAAAACCATGATGCTGTTATGCAGAGAGACAATGTTTATAAAGACAATGACAGCATCTGTTCTATATGTCGTTATGGTGGTGAATTGATGCTTTGTGATAGATGCCCATCCTCATTCCATCTCAGTTGTCTAGGTCTTGAGCAAGTTCCTGATGGTGATTGGTTTTGCCCACCATGTTGCTGCAAAATATGCAACAAACCAAAATATGGAGAAGATTGTGCAGATAATGTGGATTGCAGTATGCTCGTTTGTGATCAATGTGAGCACAAATACCACATTGGGTGCCTAAAGACTAGAGGCTTTACCAGTAACTTGGAAAACCAACCTAATAAGAATTGGTTCTGCAATGATGCTTGTGAGAACATATTTTTCAGTCTACAAAAGCTGATAGGGAAACCAATTCCCGTGGGTGCTGATAATCTTACTTGGATATTGTTGAAGACCCCGAAAAGTGATAACCATGGAGATCTTACTTCTGAAGACCTTGAGCGCATGAGTCAAATTGAAAGCAAGCTAAGTGTGGCTCTTGGAGTATTCCATGAGTGTTTTGATCCAGTTATTGATGATCTCACTGGGAGAGATATCATATCAGATATTATGTTCAATAGAGGTTCAGAACTTAATCGTTCCAACTTTCGTGGGTTCTACACAATGATTTTGGAGAGGAATGACCAGGTGATTTCTGCTGCCACCATAAGAATTTATGGTCAGAAGGTTGCTGAGCTACCATTTGTTGCCACCAGGAGGAAGTTTCAAAGACTTGGAATGTGTAGCATCTTGATAAATGAGCTAGAGAAGCAGTTGACTAACTTGGGAATTGAGAGGATGATTTTGCCTTCCTCTCCCAGTGTGATAGACACTTGGACAAACTCATTTGGCTTTGCAAGGATGACAGATTTGGATAAGTCTCAATTTCTTGACTACACTTTTCTAGACTTCCAAGACACCACTATGTGCCACAAATTTTTGATGAAACCTTCAATCAAATGTTTTGATGGGTATGTGACATGCCCCCAATTTGGCTGGCCTAAACCTTGTATCGAGCAATGATGGTTATCTGGCAACTGGGAAGTTCAAGTATTCCTGGGTTTGAGTCAAGTGTGGCTGGAAGTTCAGGCATGCCTGGGGTTGTTTCAATCATAGCTGCAAGTTCAAGTGCTGGTGATGCTCAACCGTTGCAGCAGCACCAACATGCCAGACTTCAGTGGGAAGCAGAAAATATACAAGACTAGTTGAAAATAGAAATTTTTATTTCATACTAGAGAACATTGATGATGATTACTTGAAAATACCCTACCAATGCAAAATTATTTGATTGATTTGTGGTTAATTTTTTAATAGTGTCGCCCTTTCTAGTATCTGCATTGTTTATAAAATTATTTGATTGATTGATATATAAAAAAGTCTTGCATTGTTTGTTACTTAGAATTTAAGCAGGTTAAAAAGTGAAGATATCTAGTATCTGCATTGGTTTATATGGTGGTGAAAATATATAAAAGTCTGGCATTGATGGATGGAAGTGAAGATATATGAATAGGTTAAAAGTCTGTCATTGATTGCTGGATTGTTTATATGGTGGTGACTGTTGAGGAGGTGATGTGTATGAGTCATGGCCACATATAACAGCTATTGATCCTGGTGAATGCTTGTTGATTGTTGGCATGCCAGCATGTTGGCTAAGACGACCAATATTAGAGAAAAAAAAATTTAATGCAGGGGATTTTAACCCATTCATAAGAATATCCTGTAGAAAAAGAGGTAACTTAGTTTGATTTTAGTTTATGATATCTATGCTTAATGAGGCAGTGTGTGATGTAGGTTTGGTATGCTCCTCACTTGCCTCGTTTTACATGTGCTGGATAAAAAAAACTGGCATTGTGAGAATAACTATAGTGCAAACACTTTTCTGACTTGTGGAACCTGTTGCTGAACAAATTTTGATAGACAACACTAACATATCTTTGATTTCAGTTCATGATTTACGTTCCACATTAAGCATTATTCCTCGGGATCCAACAATGTTTGAAGGGAATGTAAGAAGCAACCTGGACTCACTGGAAGAGTACACAAATGAATAGATTTGGAAGGTAATTTGTTTTTTCATGGCACTAGGAAGTAATTGTCTCATTAGTACAGGTTATGCATATTCATAAATTTAAGAAATATTATAGGCTCTAGTTATGTGCCAACTTGGAGATAAAGTAAGGAAGAAAGAAGGGAAGCTTGACTCCATAGTTTTGACTTCTAAAAACTTTAAACATAGATATAGGATGTGTTACAAGTCAAAATTATATCTATAAATGTAGTGAGAATGATTTCATATCATCATGAGTTTTGCAGTTACCATAGCTCATTGAATAACTTCAGTCATTGATAGTGACATGGTTCTGTTTATAAATCAAGGTAATTAAGAATCATTTGTTTTTTTGTCTTTTCTTGTATATTTGTCAGTTTGTTTTTTTCTTTTTTTTTCTCATAAAAGTGAATATGATTTCTCTTCATATTGATCCTGCACGCTTCTTGAGAAATATGCTTCACCAAAGAAACTGCTTAAGAATAAATCTTCGTTTGTTGCTCAACTAGTTGCAGAATACACAAGGAGATCAAACTCTGATTTTGGTCGCCTACCTTACTGAAGTTCAAGTAGGTTTTGGTGGCCTACCTTGCTGAAGTTCAAGTAGAGAGTTGTTGAAAAATGAAAAAATAAATAGGATTAAATGCTTCTTAAAGTTTTAACATACCTCTAATAATTGGCGTCAGCTTAATCGTAAAGCAATAATGATCTTATTACAATTTTGATAAAGGGGTGCAGTGCAAATGGAAGGAATGTGAACCTTCTGCAGTTAATATAGATGGCCAGATCCTTGTTCATTTTGGTTAAGCATATTGAGCAGATTTACTGAATGATTAAAAAATAAAAGCGTTAAGAACATAGGTACTTCTCTGTAAATTACCTCACAGATGTATATGGCTTGATGCAAATAAAGAAAATTCATGATCATATTACATATAAAAATAAACATAGGTAGTCTAATATTTTAAACTCTGGAACGGATTGTGTACGCTGAAGCTTCTTCGCACTCGAAATAGGTTCTAGCACCAGTATAAAGCATCAATCAGATTTTTAACATTATAAATATCCCAAAAATCAAATTTGGAGTTTTTCATGACCTTATAATATTGGGCACTAGGCCTAATAGAGAAGAGAATTAAGTTAGTATACTACTGTTGGAGCATAAGTTCTGCTGCACAAAGCAGTTTTGAAAATCACGCTAGCAAAGGGTCAAATGGACTTCGGATGGGATAAAATATTGACACATTGTATTTAATACCCCATTTAGCAAATCCGGAATGTTTATAATGTTATAAAATAGGGAACTAGTTCAGATAGAGAAGATAAGGGGTGAATAAATGTATGACAGCACTTACGTTAATGGTATACCAACATATACACTGAAGTCAATAATGATCTTATTACAAAAATGGTTACAGTTAGATTCCCCTCCCCTTCAAATGAAAACAAGACACAACTTATATACGCACAGACAGTAATTTACAAGAGCCAGCTTCCAGGGTAGTCTAGAAGCAGTATCAGTGTGTTTGTCTACAGCTAGCTTTTAAGTCTTAAAAAAAATCTACTACATATGAGAGAGGCACATGAAAGTGTTGGGATTGTAGCCGTGCATAACAACCTCCTTCAATCGGTAACTGGTGTTGGACTTGTTTCTGACTAGTTACCCGAACTTTGGCTATTGGCCATGTCCGTCACGATTGATTGCAATGTAGTGATAGCAGTTCCAGATTCTAGTGCGGTGGCAATACGATAATGCTACAGATAATGTTCCTCTGAAGCACGTAAGTAAAAATGCCGAAAGAAGTTCAGTAATACCAATGAAACGAGTTTTCCTTGCTTCCTTTAGTTTCTGAGGGAATAATCACTCCCAATGTGAAAATAGGTCAATAAGAAATAATGACAAAGATCTATCAATACAAGGATATGCTAATTGATTATTGACATATATTTTTTTAAATGGTTCAATTAATGAACCTCTTTTTTTTTCTTTTTTTCCTTATAAAATGTTACTATAAACGTCAATTCAATACCAATGTCGTTTGGGTACGCACATATGTATTCAATATTTTCTCTAGCAAAGCAATACGAAACAAGTGTTTAAGCAATAACTTACAAGGACAGGAGTCAATTCAACATTTACACTGACGCAATTTAAAAGAAAATGAAAAAAAAAAAAAAAAAAAACTATCTGCACTACAAGTATACAGTTTGGCAGTGTTTATACTTTTAAGCCTTACGCATATGCTCCAAAACCAGGACAAGCCTGCATTTACAAATCCCACAAAAATCTAACAAAAGTGACAGAAGAATTTGAAAAAGGAAAAGATGTGACACTAATGCAGGCAAAACTCAGTTACTCCAGTTATCCTCATCCTCAGCAGGTCCTTCGTCCTACAGTTTATCACAATAAGATCAGACAATGGAAAATTGGAAGGTGCTTTCACTTTGCATATATACAAAATAATCTGAAAAAGACTGATTCAAAAAGTGTACCACTTCATCAGCAATTGATCTAGCAGGTGACCAGACAAGAATTTGTCTATCATTTCCGCCGGTGTATAATTCCTATGATGATAAAGAAAATCGTTAAAAAGTAGATGGAGTTTGGGTTCTACGAGAAAGTATTACATTCCAAGCAAACTTCAATTCAACAGTTGGAGAATAATATCACATTCTATAGATACATATATGTCCAAATAGATTGAGAACCGTATCTGGAACCATTGCTGTTTTACCGTTCGTTATTTTATACTGAAATAATTACTAAATATGCAAGAAATAATCAGTGTTCTTGCCAAAAGAACACCGACTCCAGACAAGCAATAGCCATGAAAGAATCAATAATGAATATTTCCAGTGTAATTAGATAGAGGGACAGGTACAGCGATACAGGCATGATTAACCTCGTCTAGTAAATTTATATCATATAAATGGTTTCTTTTTCACCTTTCATCTTTATTTAAGTTTCATCTTTAAACACGATCAAAGAGTTGTCATATTTTAGAAAATCTTCATAATTAAGTCTCTTTTCTTCCTAAAGACGACAGTCCTCGTATCAAAGAAGAAAAGGGAGTGTTGATTATATGTAAACACAATTTACACCCACCCAGGTCTTCATCTCTTCCCTTTTACCTTATCTATAAAAAAGCAAAATTTAGGACAGAAGGATAAAACGAAAAGAGAAAAAAAAAAGAAAAAAGAGAGAGAAGAAAGGCAGTCGGTATACTGTATGAGTTGATGATAGAAGATTAGAAATATGTATGTGTGCAGGGATAGGATATGATATAATGAACTCAATAAATTTCAATGAACAAAAAGGAAAATGTCTACTCAGTTTTGCATTCCCTTCAGCTGATTTATAACAGTATATAAAGAGTTTAATTGGAAACTGAACAGGGAGACCTGACTAGCCCAACAAATTTCACCAACACCATCACCGGGAGTTGATGAATTGCTGATTAGGAAGGAGTAGGGAAAGAAAATGAGCAACCACCTCAAGAATATACCTGATCTTGTTCATTAAACCAGCAAGAGTTCACGCATTCATAGTGGCCACGTAATATTGCATGTGTGTTCCCAGACCACATGTCAAATGCCTGAATAATCCAACAGTGAGATCAGCGTTTATCATTGTATTTGTACATCTAATTTAAAGTTAAAATAATAATAAACAAAAGGAAAGATGTACCTTCACAGCTCTCATGCATGGAACAAAAACAAGGGTTGAATCTTGAGTGGTGGCTAATTGAATAGGTTTGTTTGTTTGCAGGCGGACTGTTTCAAAGTTCACAAGTGTGTCGCAGCCAGATTCAACATCCCACAACCTCAATCTTGAATCAGACCCTGTGCTCCAACAGAACATCAAATAGGGAGAGAGAGAATTTAGATATGTACAGCATTTTGATGAATTACAAGAAAATAGGCAACAAGTTTCACACGAGTCCCGCATGAAATCATTATTCCATAGATACTTCAAATAACTATATAATATAATAACTAATAAAAAACAACCTGCACTTAGGAGATACAAGCCATCCTCTGTTACTTTTAACCCTGTCACAGCACCATAATGAGCAGTTGCACGATCCTGAGTAGACAGCATTCCTGGATGTAGTCTCTGCTTCATTGGTCCCTTGGATGAAACTCTACCAATTGGCAGTTGTCTGCTACCACTCCCATTAGCAAGTTTCTTTTGTGCAGCATGCAATTTTGTACTTGAATCCTGTGAGTGATAAGGCTTTGGGATTATAACAAGCAAAAAAACTCACATAATAATAATAATACTTGGTGCAATTTCAGCAACATGATTAAAATAGTCGTGACTAGCAATAATCATTATTGAGTGAGACACACTATTTGCAGATAAGGAATAAAAAAAACACTCCTCATTAAACCCTGACTAGTGAGGGTGGGGTGAGTGTAATCCTTGTACACAGTCTTACCCTTGCATATGTGCAAAGAGGCTATTTCTCGAATTCGAACCCGTGACAAGAAAAAGCTAACATAAAATAAAAAAATAAAAAACCTTAATGGGGCATTTGAGTATAGGTGGACGTCTTCCAAGCTGAGTCCGAGATTGATCTAAAACTAGGAAACAGCCAGCACGCCTGATGTCCCAAAAACGTATTGCACCATCACATCCCCCAGTAACCAAGATCCATTCACTTGAATTAGACCACTCAACAGTCATTACTCCATCTGCCATCAAGAAAACATTTGATGCAACACCTTTTTTTTAATAGAATATATCATGCAATATGAATAATCACACAAACAGATATCTTACTTTCCTGTATTTTATATGAAACTAAATGTGACATAATTAAACAGACAATATATTTTAATACTTTCAGCAAGAAGCACACAACTAAAGACTCTTGTTAAATAGAACCATACAAAACAAGCCAGGTTATATTGTGGAGACAGAGAAAAAGCATGATTTAACCATACAACCCAGCCCTTGGAAGTGCATATATTACAAAAACTTTAAATTATGATGGACTACTAAACATGTCCTGATAATCAGAGAATATTAACCTAAAGAAAGGATTTTGCATTTTCCATTCTTTCCAAGGTTTCATCATGTATATCTCACAAAATACTGCCATTCTGCAAGGATATACTAAACTAACCTTGAGAAAATCAATTCTAACTGGATAACAAATTGAATATATATAAATAAATAGTTACATGAAAGATGCAAAAAAATAAATAAAGATAAAGGTAAAGGTTCAAATTATTGAGATACCCCGGTGACCAGACAAAGTGTGAGCAAATGCCCCGGAAGCAATATCACAAAGGCGAACTTGGACATCCTCAGTTCCAGCAGCGATAAGCATGTGAGATGTTGATAATGTGGACATTGCAGTCCTATAGACCTTTCCAGGCATTTTAAAATTCACCACCACCTGTAGTACAACAATACTAGAATTGAATTGAATATATATAGAGTTATAATAGACCAAGGCCAAGCATAAATTTATTATTATTATTATTATTATTATTATGACCTGGGTGGTATTAGTGTCCCAAACATTGATGTGATGATCGTATGAGCCAGTGATGAATAATCCTGTGTCAATTGGATACCATATAGCTGAGGATACGGCATACTTATGGGCGAGCTGGTGTTGCTTGTCAACGGAAAAAATGCACCTGTGTTTGGATATGGCACCACCTGCTTCGTAATCGCTGGGGCGTTGAACATCGTAAACAGCTACGGATGCATCCGATGCAGCAGATAACAAATATCTTCCTTCTGTCAAATCAATCTGATTTCACGGTCAAATTGGAAATTGAAGCTAAGAAACAAACAACAGTAAGAGTAAGAGTAAGAGTACCTGAAGGGAGTTGATGGCGCCTTTGTGAGCCGAAACAAGGTCTTTGTGATTCGACAATTCCAGTTGGGAAATACGATTCGACTTTATGCTATTCGCGAAAGAATCTGCTCGTAATTTCCCCGCTTCCCTATCTCTGATCTGCTTCCAGACATGCATATTCGGAGCATCTTGATTTCAACACACTCACACTCTCTTCTTCCTCCACCCTATCCACTTTCTGTTTCTACTTTCTACTTTCTGCACTGCACCCCGTTCTCTCTCTCTCTCTCTCTTCTTGCAACTCCAACTAAAATACTTCAATCTTTTCTTTCTCTTCAAACAAAAAGAAATATGTGGAAGAAAGTCAAGTGGACTCCACTACTGGCCCAATGGACTTTCCCATTGGCCCACCTTCTTTCCTATGGGCCCAATTTGTTGGAACAGTTTTTGGGCTCAATCGAGCCTTCACATTGTTTTTGTTTTCAACAACAATTTTAATGATAATTATATAATGACTAATAAGTAATTATTTACAATACATAAAACGTAGTTTTTTAAAAGAAATTGAGATGATTATTATATAATGACGACAAAAAACTACCACTCCTTCTCCCTCCTACTTTTCAGCCACCACTAGATCCTGCATTCTGCTTCTGACTAAACAAACTATTCTTTTATTCAGCCACCTAAAACGCTATGAAATGAGTTTAACTTAATTTGAATGTAAGCAAATTTTTTTCATTTTAAAATTGTCTCCACTATGTTTCGATTAATAATAATAAGGAATTTTAGTTTGTTCTTTAACATGAAGAAAAACTTTCCTACACACACAACATTTTGTGGGACCCACACTTTTTAAAGCAAAAATAAATAAATTATAACACACTAAACGAATCTCTATAACATTACACAGTTACTTTTTTGACAACATAACTTATAAAACCCTAATAATAATGGAGAAAACACAGTCTCCATTTCCAATACAACTAACAAAGACAAAAAAATTAAAGATGTGTGTGTTCTCAAGCCGTATCTCAACTTACATCAATTTATTTAGAGATTACTTAGTATGTGTTAAAAAAAAACTCTATTTATTTATGTTTTGGAGTTTGAAATTATATTTCAATGAATTTAAATTTATGTATTTCAACAAGGAAAATATTATAGTTACTACTTCTTTTTCTTACTACCTTTTACTATTAAATTTTAATCGTTGATTTTCGTCAATCCAATGATTGTAATTTATTAGATCATATTTATTAATTAATTATTAATTTCCAATAAATTATAACCGTTAGATTGACGAAAATCAACGGTTAAAACTTTGTAATAAGAGATAGTAAGAATAAGAAGTAGTAACTATAACCTCTCCCTTTCAATAAATTTTAAATAAATCTGTATAATACAAGATATTATAATAAAAAAAATGAAAAGCTAATTTAAAGTTAATTATATTATATTGGATTACAAGATATTATTAGATTTAAAGTCATTAAAGCTAAACGGGTTCAATCCCTCTGCTCCTTCCTTGGGTAAATCTTCTAGCACTCTTTCAAATAAAAAGACTCATGTATCATTAAAGATAAAAGAGTGAGTAAAATAAATATAATTACTTAGGTTACTTTTTTTTTTTTTTAATTTGTCTTCCTTTAAATGGCGACAATTTCTTTACTCGTTTTGCTTTCTCCTTTAAAAAACTTGAACCAATGTTTAAACACAAAAGTTTGAACTTTGAAGTTGAATATGAAAGAATCTACCAACTTCTGCAACCACCATTCCTCCAATTCCATTAGCACTCGGAAAAATTAAAAAAAAGAACGAAATGAAAGATAGATCTCTGAATCCATTGGATGATGACATTTGCATAATAAGCCACGCAGAAACAGTAGAAGGGTAGCTTTCATGGCGTCGAAGACTGTTAAAGTTGATGTCTTTGGAATCTGGGTTTGCTGTGGTAAGTCCAAAGCTGTGTTCCCTTTGTTTGTCTCGCCCTATAGCTGTACAACCTTTTGTCCTCTTCACTTTTTCTGACCTCCATCGTTTGAGTTGTGTTATGTCACGTCTCTCTCTCTCTCTCTCTCTCTCTCTCTTCTCACATCCTTCTCTACCAACAACTAATCATGGGGTTTGGTTTTCAACTTATCATTCATTTCGGATCTCCATTGTTGTTTGTGCTTTAGTAGCTAACTGTTTCACGACAGGTAAAAGAGAACATTGTAATGTTCTTCATTATGCTAATTCATGATAGCTAATTACTGTAGTAGTTCAGAGTTAGTTGAGTTATTTTTTTTTGACGAAAACATGTTTGTTAAAAGGTGTCGCTGTAAAAGCGTGCGGTGAGAAGTGATTGTTTTTGCCTCACTTTTCAACGGAAAGACCCACACTTGGTTTTTTTAGAAGATGTTGTGCGCTTGCTCCTCCGGGGAGCAATTCAAATTTGAAGAGCCGCCACCGCAGTCGCCGGAGTCTCTCGCAACAAGGGATTTCTCTGCCAGTGGACTTTCTTCGAGGAATGCGGATTGGGAATCGAAGTTTGATGAAACCCAAGTAGAAGAAGTTGAATCTACTCTAAAAGAAGCACTTTCCTTAAACTATGAGGTTGCAATGCATTTCGTTTTATTTGAATTTAATTTAGTTTGATCAAAATGTTACGTGCATTTTTTGAAGTTTTTTCCCCTTTTCGGAATGAATTTCAGGAAGCAAGGGCCCTGCTGGGGAGGCTTGAATACCAAAGAGGGAATTTTGATGCTGCCCTCCAAGTATTTCAAGGTATAGACATCAAGGGTTTGACCCCAAGGATGATCAGGGCAATTGCTGAAAGAACCAAGCAAAGAAAACCACGTTCCAAGGCAGATATCGTGATTCCAAATGTGATGTCATTGCATTCAGTAAGCCTGCTTCTTGAGGCAATTTTGCTTAAAGCAAGATCATTAGAGGAGCTTGGGCGATACATTGGTACCTAATACTACCTTTATATCTCTTTTTAGAGGACTTTCATATGCTTGTATGTTGTTTGATCAAACGTGCCTTTGTTAAATCATGCAATTTTTGCATGTGATGTTGTCATCCTTTGACGATATGGATCTTGAACCTTTCTCTATTTTAAGTATCATATAAGTTCTGACAAACTTAACTCCATTATGTATATTTGGTTTTGCCCTCAAGGGTGCCGATTCCGATAACTCTTGTGTTTTCTTATTCATGCAGAGGCTGCAAAGGAGTGCAGAATAATTCTGGATACGGTTGAATCTGCCTTTCCTAATGGAATGCCCGAGAGTATTGGTGAAGATTGTAAGTTGCAAGAAATGTTCCATAGAGCATTGCAGTTGCTTCCGAGCCTATGGATCAAGGCAGGCTTTCTAGATGAAGCTGTCACTGCATATCGTCTTGCTCTGGTCAAGCCATGGAATTTGGAACAACGAAGGTTGGCTGGTGTACAAAAAGATTTAGCTACAATGCTACTCTATGGTGGTGTTGAAGTAAGCCTACCCTCTCAGTTGCAAGTGTGGGGTCAAACAACACCCATGAGTAACGTTGAGGAAGCAATACTTTTGCTATTAATACTCATGAGCAAAGTAGCAATTCAGAAAATAGAGTGGGATGCTGAAATAATGGATCATCTTACATTTGCACTTTCAGTTACTGGGTTGTTTGAGCCATTGGCAGATCATGTAGAGCAGATCCTTCCAGGTATCTATAGTCGAGTTGAGAGGTGGTACTTTCTTGCTCTATGTTATAGTGCAGCAGGGCATAATGAAGCAGCATTGAACCTTTTGAGGAAGGCTTGTGGTAGTTCTGAAGCAAAGCATAGACTCCATTTTCCTTCATTTTTGTTTGGAGCTAAACTTTGTTCCCAACATCCTGGCCATGCTCGTGAAGGCATTAACTTTTCACATGAAGTTATCAATCTAGCTAAGTACCAAAATGAGCATTTTTTGAGTCAAGGATACAAGTTTCTTGGCGTTTGCTATGGGGCTGCAGCTAGAACTTCTGTACTTGATTCTGAAAGAAGTATGTTTCAAAGAGAGTCTTTGAACTTTCTAAACTGTGCTGCTGTATATGGAAATGGTGACCCGGATGTGATATTCAGCCTTGGACTGGAGAAAGCAATTCAAAGGAATCTGGATGGAGCTTATGACAATATAATGATGTACTCAGACGCGACTGTTGGTAGTTCAGGAAGAGGTTGGCAGTTGTTAGCACTCATAGTATCCGCACAGCAGCGGTTCAAGGATGCTGAAACTATAATTGATTTTGCTTTAGATGAGGCTGGAAGGATGGATCAGCTAGAACTTCTAAGATTGAAAGCAGTACTTCAAATTGCTCAGCAGGAACCCAAGCAAGCAATAGAGACCTACAGAATCTTGCTAGCACTAATTCAAGCAAGAAAAGAGCTTTGGCTTCAAGATAAGAACTTTGATCAAGCAAAAGCATTCAGGCATGAGGTGTGTAATAATTTTCAATGAACGATTCTATAACGTCTCTTGTACAGACTGCTATTAAAGTTGATTGAAAAGAAGCAATGACCCTCTTCTATTGGAAACTGCCAAAGAAAAAATCTATACTAGTTAGTTAATTAATACTAATACCTCTGGTTTTTAAATATCAGTTAAAAGAAACTCCCCTATCCTCCCCCTTTCTTAAAATTACATGCTAGAATTTTCATTTTGGATGACCAAAGATGATCCTATTCGTAGAGTGGAAGATTGGGAATTAATAATCTGGGACAATTTTTTTTTTTTTTTAATTATTATTGGTAGAGTAATGATTAGATTCATCTCTCTTAGCAGGGATTAACCGAAAGGAAGTTGGAAATGGAAGCCTGGCAGGATTTGGCTAGCATTTATGCAGATGTTGGTTCCTTGCTTGATGCAAAAGCTTGTGTTAACAAAGCCCAGTTGATAGATTTTTTCTCTCCAAGAAGCTGGCATATTACAGGTAAGGAATCTGTCTGATCAGGTTTTTATTGTGGAACCACTGCATGTTTCTGTATTGAGTAGTGTTTATGCTCATGGTAAACTAATATGCAATTTCATTGCTGTGCACAATTGCAGGGTTGTTGTTTGAAGCTCAATCATTATACAAACAGGCATTTGTTTCCTTTTCAGTATCATTGTCGATAGAACCAGATTACGTTCCCAGTATCATTTCAACTGCAGAATTGTTGCTGAAACTTGGTTTGCAATCACTTCCAATTGCAAGAAGCTTTTTAATGAATGCTTTGCGATTAGAACCCACAAACCACAATGCTTGGTTCAACCTCGGATTGATTTCGAAAACAGAAGGTTCATTACAGCAAGCAGCTGATTTCTTTCAAGCTGCATACGAACTGAAGCTTTCGGCTCCAGTGCAAAAATTTGAGTAATTGAGTTGAGACTTAGGGAAAATACCCGTAATGTTTTTGGTCGAGGGAAAGTGAGCTTGACTAAAAGCAAGATATAAAGCCCGCGAGCAGCGACTAAATGGCACAAATACTCACCCTCGGTTCCCATTACTTTGGTTATTGATTTGTTTAAAAATGTATAGCTAAATCTAGCTACCTAGCAATAGATTTCCTTCATTATGTTCTAATCAAATGTACTTGTTTCACAAGTAGAATTAACGGCGGGGGACAGAAGTAACGCTCTGCCTTTATAATTAATATCCTGTCATACAATGATAGGTACTAGATAGTTGAAGTTGCCATAATTCTATGCTTGACTGTTACTTCTTTCCCATCTTTCTGGTACTTTTTATGTATTGTGAAAGGAAATTACTCTATTGTTCATCACTAATTAAAAATTGCTCATTTAAGTTATTTAGTGAATAGCATATAGAGGTCTTAACTTTGGTTCAAAGGATTGTTGAAGGTGTGAAGCCGGAAAAAAAAAAAAGAACAAGGAAAGAGAAGAGAACTTCATGTTATAAAGGGAAGAGTTAGCTCTTTAGTATGTGATAAAAAATAGGGCATACCCTAAGTCACCCAGATTCAAGTTGTACTGCGTCTCATGGGCAGGAAAGAAAGGTGACAGTTACGACTTCAACCATCAATCTATATCATCCCGTTACTAAATTTTGTGGTAGCGGCCAACATTTTCAATAAAGCTTTGTTTTCTTCTTCAATTCTTCCAGAAAATGAACACCAAGAACTGGGAATTGAATATTCAGCAGTTCTCATGCATCTCCATCACCAAGCTGGTTAAGCCATTTAAAGCTCATTTGACAGGAAGATCATCATTAACTCCAAATAGAGTATCCTGCTAACCTGTCAGGTGAGTTACAAGAAGCCCATGACGAGGGACTACTACCAATAAATTAAATTGCATCTAGCAAGTGGGTCTAATATTATTTCTCAGTGCAAAACATTAAGGCATTGAATTCATAAATCTTCCTTTTTATATTCGCTTCACTTAGATCATTACAAACTAATATGGAACTCTATCACAATTGAATATCTCAATATAACTTATATCCTTGACTATATATGAGAAGTTCAAAGTGATTTCTTTTGTTTTTTGTTTCTTCTTTTCCTTTTTTTTTTTGAAGGGGGGGGGGGGGGGGGGGGCTTAAAAATAAAGGCAAACAGTTTCGTGCGTTCAATTTTTGCAGAAGTAAAAAGGAGTTGCTTCAATATTAACAAGGGAATAAAAACACCAAACTACATTCTCAACTTATCCTCGTTTCCTTTACACCACGAATTCTTTGCAATCAAACATAATATTTCTTGGTCTGGAAAACAACATATTTGACCGATGGTACAATTGTTGTAAAGACCGTTTTATCATCTCCGGAACAAGGAAAGCTGGCACGGCAGAGAATTTGACTGGACCTATACTTAGGACTGCAAGACAAGAAAGGAAAAACCAATGAGGCAAATGATCTTCTAAAATCTAAACTGTAAGGAGACATTTTCTTTGTGCAGAAAAGAAGGTATAAATTGAACATTAACAGACAATTCACTCTGTTACAAACATAATAACCTCAGGAGTGGTCCTAATCTACACAAATTTGAAAAAAAGCAGTGAAGTTAACCCAATCCAACTGGGTTGGGTTGATTAGGTAAGTAAGTTCGTTTGGATTTGTCTAGTTTAGAAGTAGATTCCTAAATGAAAGTTTTGATCCAGGAATAAAGGAATTTCTGGATTGACATGAACTACCTGAATCTAACAAATTGCATTTTAATCACTTTTTCATGTGAAAGAGTGGTGTAGGCATGTAGCATTTTGCAGATACTGAATATGCTACTCTTGAACAGAATCCAGGGAAAAAAAATCGAATTTGGCTATCATTGATATTTTATTTTTGACTCAGTGAAATGAGCTATTGCTGGAACAATTAAACTTCGTTCATGCAAATCTTGTTTACAGAAAGAGAAAAAAAAAAAAAAAGAGTTTAGAAGAGAGTCTTTGTTAGTTTTCAACAGGTTGGTTTGCTAGGTTTAATTAAGTTCATCCAAAAATTTTAGGCACAAGCTACAAGTTGATTCAAAACAATCCAGCCCGTGCTTGCCTATATAATGTACCCAAATGCGAGAAATTTTTAAAATGATTCACACATCTTTTATCATAAACTATGTATGTATTCATATACATGTCAACGCTCATTTTCCTAACATAATTTCCCTCAATTGAAAAGTATGAGTTCATTTTCATGAAACTTAAACTAAACAAAAATGAATAACCAAAATAAAAAACTAAAATTTATCAGACAGATCATTCACCTTAAATGTAATAAGCAGTTGACTCGGACCGATAAATTGCCTAACATCAACCCATCTGCATATCAACAAATGAAATAGTCAAAATCCATTTGAAGATTGTTAGCAATAGGGAAAGGGCAACGAACAGCACATCAAAAGGGAATATATAATTTTTTTTCAATAAAAAGTGCACTAAATTCCTAATCTAAATAATATTTTGATGATACTTCAACAGATTTAACCACTATATATGAGTTAATACTTGCCAAAAGTCAAGTTGCCTCTTGAATCACTAAACCTTTACAAATGGTTCGCCATTGTTGGAGTCTTCAACTTGTTTTACCGTTTCTGATTGCTTTGCCTCTCCTTCTTGTTCTTTCCTGCAATGACAATCAACTCCTAAAAGTTAGTCTATATATACCTATAGAAGAAAAGAAAAAAAACCATTATAAAAGCATTATTTTTTTTTTCCACACGACTCTACCCATCCGAAAAACTTACGTTAAATATGCTTCATTTACTAATTAATAATTACGATGGGCCTTGCATTGCATGCATCTTCTAAAGTATGAACTTCCACGTACAAACATGCATGTCAGAAGTACATGTATTTATGTTATGTCACACGCAGAATGCCTTTCCCCAATATTATCCTATCCATAACGTATGGAATGTAGATCACCCCATATATATTAATCCCAAGTTGCATGAATAAAGCAATAGCCATGTATGCTGAATGTTTTACGTACGTACCACCAATATTCAATGTATGATTTTGAAGGATGCATAAAAATGACAACAATATATAGATCAATTTCAACAACAAGTACGATGAATGCATTTTACAAATCTTTGAAACATTTACATGAATGCATGCAATGAAATGGTTTAAAAAGAAGAAAATGCCTTCTCTGGGCGGCTTCAGCAGCTCTAGCGCGTGCTTCTTCAGAGGCCAATCTCTCTTCCTCCTTTGTCATACGCTTGTTGCCCCCGTCGAAGCAACCAAAGCACAGACCCATCTCTGTCTTTGTTCCTCTCTCTCTCTCTCTTCCTTTCTCGTAAGGCCTTTAAGCCTCTACAACCTGTATTTTCCTTCTTTTTTAAAAAAATTGTCAACACCTTCCCCTTTTTCGTTGTCTTCCCTTTCTGTTGTGGATGAGGATGATGATGACCAAGATATGCTATATTAATATTATTATTAACAAATTCTTTGTTTTTTTTTTGATACAATTATTAACAAATTCTTTAACAACAATGTGCTTCCCATCTTCTATCAAAATCCGTTGCCTCATTCCGCGTTAAATTTGTGTTACCCACCTATTAGTCACAATAATAATATATGCTCTGTTCTTTAACAGAATATGCTGTTCAAATATTACTTAATAATTATTACCCACAATAAAATATTAATATAATACGAGGAATGATCCATTGACAAAATTTTCTTTTACAAATTACATTATGTACTCTCCCGAAATATATAATGTAATTTAGTGTACTTTCGAAAATACATAATAGTACATAATGTATTTGTACATTAGAAATTTATAAATATAACTCTCTCTATATTATATTACATTAAATGTATTTATCTCATTGGGCAAAATTAACTACATGGATCAATTCATATTATTGAGTTATATTAAAATCAGTTTAATTTTCCCCTTTATTAGACACAAATGATAAGGATACAATACAAGAATACTATAATCGTTGCAAATACTGCTGACTTTTGCACAGCGTTTAAAATATATACTTGGTTTCGAGTGCATGATCAATGGAACTGCGTTTTTTCTTTGCGGTGGGAATGGAAATATGTTTTCTAATGGCACCATCTATGTGATCTTGCATTTTTCATAAGGCTTCTAGATTTATCCAAAGTACGACTTCTTGTCCAATTTGAGCTTCCACGAAAGTAAATAATTAATTAATACGTTGCACACAAAAATGGACAAGTAACACGTGGATGATCAATGAATGAAATAATGAATGATTATTCTACCACCCTAAAAGAAAAATAAAATAAATAACTTAAATAAAATTCTATAGGTATTTATAGTGATATTCTTTCATAAAAATGATATGTGTATTATTTATAAACATCAATTATAAGATTTTACAAAAAATATGGTAATTAAAAAATAATAGTTAAGTTATATTTCGATTAAAAAATAACACCACATGTTTAAGTTACTTAATTTTTGTTTTCATAACTTAAATTGGTTGGGAAGGGGTTAATTGGATGGATTATGATAAGGATTAAGGACTATGACAAAACCAAGGAGGACCAGTCGATAGCAGCGCAATAAATGGTTATGAGACCAGACGGCCCAACTAATAACTACTAGAAATCTATAATAGAATGTTCTCTCGTCCAATCAGGATGGGATTTGGAGTCGTATAGAGAAAATAAATTATGACCCACAAAATGTTCTCTTACATGTTTTCTAAATGGGAAAACATTTTTTATTTTTAGTGCAGGAATTTTTTCCCTATCACATTCATTTTTTTTATTGTAAAGAGAAGAGAGAATTTTGTTTAGCAAAATTCATTCATTTTTATGTGAATTTGTAAGAAAAAAAAATTTCTTAAGCATAAAAAGTTAAACCCTTTCTAAATTTACCCACCGAAATCACTTTGGCTGAAACAAAAATAAAATAAAATTAAAAACCCAAGTGCGGGCGATCATATGTTAAGTATCAGAACATTGGCGTTATTTCAAAAAGTGTAAATGGATCACGTACCTTGTGAAAAAGAATGTGTACCGCAGTTTAACTTACATCTTAACTTTGAACAATAAAAGAGTTTTGGAGTTAGAACTTAGAACTGACAGCATTGAGATTGGACCATCACCACTTGATTTTCAAGAACCTCGAAAGAAAAACCATTAACCACTCCATGTACATCTCCATGAGTCCTAACTCTACCACAATTTACACTGAGAAAACGTCATCAAGAGAAGGATTGAATTTTCAACCTGCCTCAAGAACGTTACCAAGAAAACATGCATACACGTATATACACAAAGAAAAAGTCCAATTCCCAACCCAGAAATGGAAATAGTAGAAGAAACAAAAAACAAGGGAACGAAAATATCAAACAATCTTCACCAGCTTTTCTGGTGGCTATGTTTTCCTGAACTCTTATGATCATTTGAAGCCCTGGAATCACCACTTGTCGGAGAAAGTAACCCTTCATGAGTCACCATCTTCTTTTCACTCAACCCTATAACATAGTTATCTTTCTTCTTCTTCTTCTTCGTTGATTTCCTTGGTGGTTTTGAGATATCATTCAATGTAGGGACAACATACCACATAACACAGGTGCAAAGCGTTGCAACTGATCTTCCAAACACAGTCAAGAACACCAAAATCAATATCATAACAGCTGGTACATAGAAAGATGGTCTCTTCATTAACATATCCCAAGAGAAAGTACTAATATTCTTCTTGGGTTGCTTTCTTTCTTCAATAGAAGCAGTGGCTTCAGCTGAAGTTGTAGATTTCTCTATTGGCCGATCCAATAAAGGTGTTATCAAATGTCTTGCTTTGAGCTCTTCACTCTTGTGTCTCTTTTGGTCCTTGTTTTTCACTTTCACCACGATGGGGACGAAATCATCTGTGTTTGAGTATGCAAAGCGAACGAGAGAAATGTCCTGAGGACTCATCTGTGAATAAACCTTTTGCCTTCTCTGGTCAAGATCAGCTAAAAGTGCTGAAAACTTGTCAAGGCCTCGTGTGGAGAATGGGTTATTATCTCTGCTATCTTTTCTTTTGGATTTCTTGGGGCTAGAACATGGTCCATCTTCTGCTTCTTGGTGGAAAGTGCCGCAAACAAAAGGGTTCAGCATATGGTAAAGAATGAAAGGTAGGTTGTTGCTTTGAGGAACTTTGAGAGAAAAGTTGAATTAGATTGGATTGTAACAGAGAGAGGCAGAGTTGAGAAATATATATACATATATATATTTATTGATCTAGGGAGAGAAGACTTGACTGGATCCAATCCAAATCAAAGGTTTGAAATTTAATCATAACATGAAAATTTCCAATATGTTGATCTTTGACTTCTTGGAGAGAAGGAAACAGTAGCTAGCTTAATTGTTTAGTTTATTCTTTTCAGACCGTGTAATCTAATATATTAATTGAGAAGAAGATTGTGTAGGAAAATGAATTGCTTTATATAAGTAGAGAGCATGTTACTTGTGGAGGAGGTCTTGATTATTATTGAAAAGGTCTGTGTCATTCATTAATATAACATATATTCATTCCACAATGTCGCCTATATTATTTATCATGTGATTAATCAATCGTGTCTTCTAGAAAGCAAAATAGCTACGTTGATGCTTGAAACCTGAAACTGAAATTAAGTGGCCGCAAAGTATAGTGACTTTGTAATGCTTGGTTTGGTTGAAAACACACAATTTATAAATTAATTCATTTATTAAAAAAAAAAATTGTACAAACAAAAATCTATTCAAATAACTTCCCACAAAAAAAGATTTAAATGAATTTCTGTTTTTTTTTTTTTTTTAATTATTTAAATTAGTTATTTAATCTATTAAAATACAATTGACTTTAATAAATTAATTATTACAATAAAAAATTGATTCATCCGTAACATATTTTAAGCAAAAATGATTTACAAATTAATCCAAGTATTTTCTTGTAAAGGAAAAAGTTTTGTCCTTTCAAAAAACACAAGGTTGTGTCCTTTCAGCAGTTATAAATATATACAATGGGTAGTATATAGTTATAATATTAAAGTTGTACTTTTTTTTTCTCTTCAGAAGTTGTTTGCTGACGTGAAAAATGAAAAAAAAAATATAACTTTAATATTATAATTATGTACTACCTGTAGTACATAGTTATAACTGCTTAATGGATATAACTTGACACACACTGAACCCTTCTTGTAAACATATAAATTAATTTATAGATAAAATCAAATCAATTATAGTTAAAACAATTCAAAATAAAAGTGCATGTACGTCAAGTCTTATATCATGAACAAGTAAACTTCGTGGATACATTAATTTTTAAGTTAAACTTACATTGATTTAAATTACATTCAAAATATAACCACTGTTTGTGTAAATTTTTGTTTTTAATCTGTTGATCGATTATTTGATTAATTAATTTGATTTGGATTTATGGTGACTTTTTCGAGAATTATAATATACATTCTCAGACCTTTGATTCGAAATTTCTAGTTAAGGAAAATTTTCTTATTATAAAAAATACTATTTTTATAAAACAATTTGTAAAATAGAAGATGAAATTAAATATATTTGCAAACTTTGATTAAAAAAATCATGTACAACGAATATAATATTTTTTGAAAATATCGAATTTTATTAAAATCTTATGTATTTGTTAAGACAAATTAACAAATGAATATCTATTATTTATTTATTTTAAATACATTGAGAATGGAACACAGCTTCTACTACTCTCTACCCATCCCCTTACCACTAGGCTAGCCCTAGTGGCTTCTATTGATTTTAAAGATATATGCTGATTGGGCTCTCCTATTTGGTGTGACCTGCTGGTGCTTATGGAGGAAAATGAATGATTTTGATTTTAATGAGGTGAAATCGGATACCTAGAAGAGCATTAGAATTATTCTGGGATATTATGAGAACTATAGCTCTGGGAAAGGCCTTCTGTTGAAAGGTTCCAGCAAAATACAGCCTCATCCCTAGTGGTCAAATGGATTCCTCCCTTGGCTGGCTGGATGAAAATGAATGTTGATGGAGCAAGCTCAAATGGAAACTTAAAGTCTAGCTGTGGTGGTGTTTTAAGGAACTGCGAAGGGGACTGGATTGTGGGTTTTGCAAAAAATATGGGACATCAGGGAAATACTTTTAGAGCGGAACTTTGGAGCTTCCTTGTAGGACTTAATGTGGCTTGGGATCAAGGCTATCGGAATATCATTATTGAAGGGGACTCTACCCAGGTTCTAAAATTTATAGAACAAGAGGAGCATCTAAGTCATCCTTCAACTCAAATTGGAAAAAAAGTGTGGGATCACCTTGAGAGAAACTGGACTATGCAGATGAAGCATACTCTAAGGGTAGGAAATGTTGTGGCTGATTGGTTGGCACACAAAGCTACATCTATTGATGGAAACGTCCAGTAATTTTTGACCCCTCCTACGGGGTGCAGTATTTTACTTTGTAAAGATAGTTTGAGTGTTGAGACTCTTAGAGTAGCAAGTTAGTTGCTTGGTTTCTCTAGAGAATCAGATAACAGAGAGAATCGATCTATGAAAATGGAATTCATTTTCTTGAATGAGTTAGTTCAATTTACATGTACAGCTACCATATATATTAGATACAAGTGTGCAATATCTTAACAGAAATATAAATGCGGTTATGCCAGCACGTGGCTTTCTAACAAACTCCTAACCAAGTGAGCTGTCAGCATTTCTATCATGATTAGTAGCATTGAACCATTTATCTGATATTGAGTGTATGGAAACATTGGAAGCATTGGGCTCTTGTTGAATGGGCTCATGTTGAATAGGTTGTAAGCCTGCATCGTGTAATACCCCCCCGCAAGTGGGACTATGGAGGTTGAATAGGCCCAACTTGTGAACTGCTGGAAGGAAAAGCTTCGAAGACAAGGGCTTTGTGAAGACATCAGCAACCTGGTCAGCAGAGGAAACTGGGAGAAGATGGAGAAGACCAGAACAAATTTTCTCACGCGTGACATGGCAGTCAATGTCAATATGCTTGGAACGTTCATGGAAGGCTGGATTGTGTGCTAGGTAGATGGCTGATTTGTTGTCGCAGTATACTGATGCCGGTTTGGACCATGGAATATGGAGATCACGGAAGAGATGTTGTAACCACTGTAGTTCATAGGTAAGGGAAGCTAAGGCTCTGTACTCTGCTTCAGAGGAGGAGCGAGAAACGGTAGACTGCTTCTTTGATCGCCAAGTAACCAAAGAAGAACCAGTGAAGATGCACATGCCAGTAATGGAACGTCGAGTGTCAGGACATAAACCCCAGTCAGAATCACTGAAAGCACGAACATGGATGTCTGGGTTTGCTGGAAAAAATAAACCAGTTGCTGGAGCTCCCTTTAGATAACGTAGCACACGAGTAGCAGCTGCTTCATGAACAGTAGTGGGTTGAGAAATGAATTGGCTCAGTTGTTGAACCACAAAGGATAAATCAGGACGCGTTGTGGTCAGATACAACAAACGTCCAATTAACCGACGATAAGCGGTAGCATCAGAAAGGGGTGTGCCTTCATCTCTGCGTAGATGAGTAGAGTGGTCCATTGGAGTAACACAGGGTTTTGCAGCCAATAGTCCTGCATCAGAGAGGATCTCCAGGGCATACTTGCGTTGGTTAACATGAATGCCACGTTTGGAACGAGAAACCTCAAGGCCAAGGAAATATCTCAAAGAGCCTAAGTCTTTAATTCTGAACTGTTTATGAAGAAATTCTTTGACTCGAAGTATTTCAGCAGCTGAATTACCTGAGAGAACGATATCATCGACATATACTAAGAGTATAGTGAACTCATTGGCACGAGAGAGAGTAAACATGGAATGATCTGCTTGTGATGGAGTGTAGCCAAGAGATATGAGCGCAGAAGACAGTTTGCTGTACCACTGTCTGCTAGCTTGACGAAGACCATAAAGAGACTTGTTCAACCGACAAACTTGAGTAGGATTAGCAAGAACCAATCCTGGTGGAGGCTCCATATAAACCTCTTCATGCAGATCGCCATGAAGAAAAGCATTATCAACGTCCAGCTGCTCTAAAAGCCAGCCTTTGGATGCAGCAAGGGCAAGAAGTGCACGAAGAGATGTCAATTTTGCTACTGGGGAGAAAGTGTCTAGGAAATCCACACCTTCGAGTTGAGTGAAGCCTTTTGCAACCAACCTGGCTTTAAACCGTTCTATTTCTCCATTGGACTTGTATTTAATCTTATACACCCATTTGCATCCAATGGGTGTCTTATGAGAAGGAAGATCAACTACAGTCCATGTATTGTTGAGAGTCAAAGCAGATAATTCCTTATCCATGGCCAATTTCCAGTCTGCACTTTTAATGGCTTGCTTGTATGTACAAGGCTCAGCAGTGGTGATAACATTGAGGCAAAAGTTTTTGTATGAAGGAGCACAAGAATTATAGGAAATAACTTGGGATAAAGGGTGTTTAGGAGAGGAAAGAATACCTGGTGAAGAGTGATGCTGCTGCCTGGAGAAGAGGCTATAGTGATAATCCTGGAGGTACTTAGGAGGATGGCTTAGTCGAGAAGAACGACGAACAGGTGGAATAATAGGTTCATCAGATGTAGGTGATGTATCTGATGTAGAAGACTCATCAAAGGAAGAACTGGTAGGTATAGGTGAGGGATGTTCTGCTGAAATAGGACTGCTGGGTTGAGTATGTATAGGAGAAGGCACTATAGTGCAGGATGGAGAAATTGGAAATGATGTATGAAATAAGGATGAAAAGTCTGAGGTGGTAGTGGGGTCAGTATGTGTATGAGATATTGCATTTCTGTCATGGTCATGAGTTACAGAAGAAGATGTGGTATGAACAAAAGGCATGACAGTCTCATAAAATACAACATTTCTTGATAGAAAAAGTTCATGGGAATTGAGATCATATAGTAAGTAACCTTTTGTTCCCTCTCTATAGCCAAGGAATACTGACTTCCTTGCTCTAGGTGAAAATTTGGTACGGTTATGTGAAAGGGTTGATGCATAAGTGAGACATCCAAAAACTTTCAGATGAGTAAAGGAAGGCACATCATTGTATATCAGTTCATAGGGAGTTTTGTTTTGAAGTTTGGGTGTGCAAGTACGATTTATTAAATGAGTTGAGTG